GCTGCCCCGGTGCTGGCGTGCCGCCGGGTACAGAGCAGGGTCCCCCGAGGGTGGGGACCCAGTGGGAGCCCTGGCTGCTCCCCCCGCGGGGCAGTGGGGCTGTGGTGTTGGGCTCAAGGTCTGCCCGCTGTTGATTACAATTAGCTGCGGTGTCTGTCACCTCTCAAGGTCTGCCCGCTGTCTGTCACCTGCATCCCCTGGTGCCTCCGGAGGGCTCTGCAGATGCCAAGGTGGGGATTGCTAATTACAGGAGAGCAAGCCAGGGTGGAGGGACTGTGTGTTTGCGCTGCTCTGAACCGGTTTGCTTTAAATATTAATGTACAAAATGCCATCAGCTCTTCCCAGAGACATTCTCCTCTCCCATTAATATTTGAGGACTCACGTTCCCGTGTAGCATACGGTCGCATGGCCGTTTTAAAACAAATTGAGGCAAAGGGTTTCTCTTAGTCCTAACCCTGCATGTGGCATGTGGGCTTGGTCGGGGTCTGCCGTGTGATGCCAGGCAGGGCACAACAAACGGCTGCCCGGGAAGCGCGTGCATCGGCTGCGTCCTGCTGCGTGAGCGTGTCATGTCTCTCCTCCTGCCCATCCAGAATGGGAAGAGCCTGGTGCTGTGGTCAGCCCCCGAAGCCATCCAGTATCACCACTTCAGTCCCGCCAGTGACGTGTGGAGCTTCGGCATCGTCATGTGGGAAGTCATGTCCTACGGCGAGAGGCCCTACTGGGACATGTCCAACCAGGACGTGAGTCCCCAACGGCCGCGCGGTAGATGCCAATGTTGCCATTTCTAATGGCGTGCAGGTGGCCCCGTGGTGCAGGAGGAGCCGCCACTGCTCCCCCGTCGGGGTGCGAGGAGGGGGGTTTGCCCCAGGGGTGTGCCTGTGATCTGCATCACGCTGCCTGACCCCGTTCCCCATACCCTCCTCTGCTGCTGCAGGTGATGAAGGCGGTGGAGGACGGGTTCCGCCTGCCCGCCCCGCTGAACTGCCAGCTGCCCCTCCACCAGCTCATGCTCGACTGCTGGCAGAAGGACCGCAGCCAGAGACCAAAGTTCTCGTACATCCACAACATCCTGAGCAAGATGGTGCAGGGTCCGGCATCGCCGGCATGCCCCAGCTCCAGTGCAGCCAGGTGATTGCTCTCCCTCCGGCTTTGCCGCCTGTTCTGCTTCGCCTGCTGGTTCCCAGCTCCGGCGTGCCGTGCCCCGCTCCCTCCTCACCTCCCTGTTCTGTTGGCAGGTCCCATGGCACATCCATCCCCCTCACCCAGCGTACCTTCTCAGCCTTCCCGTCGTTCAGCTCTGTGGGCGAGTGGCTGGAAGCGATAGAAATTCAGGTACAAAGACAACTTCACCGCTGCAGGCTACTGCTACCTGGAATCGGTGGCCAGGATGACGGCCCAGTAAGTGAACTGGTTTCCTGGCTATGATCGCATGTTGGTGGGCGCAGCGCGAGCACGCTCTGCTTTGCAGTTACAATCAGGCATCACTAAACGAGAGGACACATGTTCCAAAACAGGTCTGTAAGAGCCCGCTGGCGTGAGCTGCGCTGTGCTGTGCAGCTCTGTTGCTGGTTTTTGAAGCTGAGATTCAAACGTGCAGTTTCTGACAAGCGCAGCGTTACCTGTTCCTTCCAGAAAGCAGAGTCACATCTAACCGGTACGCAGGCGCACGGGGC